GAGCTTCTGAGAGGTGAGATTGTCGGGTACGTCTGTGTCACTGTCAAGAGGGAGCGCAGACGAGTTGAACTCCACGCCCGAGTCATTCATCTCCAAGAAGTTCTTCTCAGATTGGAGGGCCTGGTACTGACCTGGTTTTGATACCTCAAGACCCTAAGAGTTAAATAAAAACCAAGAATTGTAAGACAACTATTCAAATACTAAATGCTAAATGCTAAATAAAAATCCAAACTAAAACCGATCACTCAAAATGAAAAATGTCCTCATGATTTAATTTGCTTATCTTTACGTTGCTGTTTTTCTATTATTATTTTATTTATTTTTTTAATTTTTTGGTCTGAACTATGACCAGTTGTTGCACAAGCGGCATAGCAATTCTTTAATTTTTAACAAATATTTAAATATTTCAAATATTGTGATTAAAATAACAGCATACAGGTTTGTTATTTTAGTATTATTTATAGACTATTACAGTTTTTATTAATGTTTTGAATCATCTTTTATTTGTATATATTCAGTTATTATATTAGTTTGAGTTTAAAAAAGTAATTTTATGTGCTTTTGTGATTTTAATGACTTCTTATGAAATATTACTATTTAGGTTTAATTTGATTTATTTCAGTTTTAGTTTTTATTTTCCAGTCAGTAATTTTTTCATTCAACTTTAATTTATTTCAAGGCAATATTTCTAATTTTCATTTAATTTTCATTTAAGTTCTTATTTTAATATTATATATATATATATATATATATATATATATATATCATTTTAGCTTTTTCAATTAATAGTTTTATTTTTAATAACCTTGATCTGCAATGATACAATGACACAATGACAATGAGCGAATTTTCATTTTAAGGTGAACTATCCCTTTAAAATCATGTTGACGGCAAACCAACTTCAATGGAAAAACAACATTTCCTACTTTGATCTCAACTTCTGTGCTCTCGGTGTTGTTCTCCCATGTGGACTGTACAGTGGGCTCCTCTGAGAATCTAGTATAAGCTTCATGAACCACCTGAAAAACATCATTTCACATGTGAATTAGCGTTTTGTGGATGGGCTCACAATGAAGAAATCATAGCAAGGGCTTTTTCATACTAGAGCATGTGGTTTGAACCAGAGTCCATTTGACAAGTTTGGTTTGTTGGGTGTGAAATCTGTTTTTAAACTGGGAATCTGATGTACATTTTATGAAGTGAACTGCTATTGATAGTAGAGTGAATTCAGACAGATTTTCACTTTTTGACAATTCTTTCAATACGAAAAAAGTGGCCTGATTTACAATGCATCAGTCATTCATGTTTGCCTGCAGAAATTGCTTACAAATATCTTACATTCTTTGCTTCTCTTGCTATGACGATGACGTTAAAATCTGCTAGTGAAAATCAAAGGGACTAAAATATGACTGCAGTACAACAAATGAGGTGAATATTGCTTTCCATTTTAGCCCCTTCTCCTTCTGAGCTGTTATAGCACCAGCGGCTGACATCTGCTGCTGGTGATGCAAACGTATCACAGTTTGGAGCCAAATAATGCAATGTTGAAATGTTGTACGAAATGAACTCAAGTTCAGACCAACCAATCAAACCGAGTGTGAAAACAGCCTTAGAAATAATCAGCAGATCCAGAATAAATATTCTGCACATGGAATATACTGTATATTGTAACATTGTGAAAACTGGATGACGCCATGGGCAAAATATCTGAATGATTCTGATGAAGTCTGCATATTGTTGTTTGTTTAAAACACAACAACGCTGCTCATCAGTGTCTGTGTCTAGCCCGTCACAGTGTCACAAAACATATACAGTATGAGCATATAGTAAAACCCAGAGGCACACTTACCCATAAGACTTTGAGAGTACACACAATGACGTTACAGATAAACACATGGACAACATGAATTTCACTGGGTTGGCAAATGATTAATTGCTACAGATTAGTGGCCATATTCAGAATAGCATACTAGCATAATACTTTTACTATAGTATTTTGTTTAGTGTGCAGTGGGCTTGTCACAGTATACTAGAAGATACAGGCATGAAATTTTATACTAGTCGCCTATAACGATTACTTCGTGACTAATGATGAATTAAATTAATGCATTAAAAGCCAAATGTTTCTAAAATTACACAGGCAACACAGCATGAACGCTCACAGAATACAACACCTTTCATTTGGCAAGAACAATTGGGGCAGCACAAAAGTCAGCAGATCATGATTCGGTTACACAACATACATCTTAAGTGTGTAAAATATTAATAGAGTAAACCGAACACCAAAGGAATCAATCTAGTTGCACTCGGAAGCGAAGACCCTTATCAGGATGACTGAACACTTGAAATGGTTGAGCAAATAAATAAATGTAAGATGCAGATAAATTATAAAATGTAAGATATACATGAAATAATGTATTATCAAGACCACTCTCTGAATGATCGAACACTTGAAATGCTTGAGATTACATCTGAAGTTACATTTTTTTAAAGATAAAATAAACAAGCAAGCAGGTAAATTAGTAAATAAAAAAATACATAAATAAATATAAATGAGATGTAGACAAATGTTATGTATCAAAGACTATTATCAGAATGACAGAACACTTGAAATGGTTGAGGTTTTGGTGAACAACTCACCATTTAGCCTGATTGCACGTTATTTATTTTAAGT